ATCTCAGTAGGTTTCTAGCTCACGCTTATGAATTTTTTGAACGCTGGTTTGTTGTGTAAACTACAGTTGTGTAGGATCACATAATACACTAAGAAATCTTGCCAGCCTGAACACTCTCCCAATTCCCAGCTAACCTGCCATTGCTAAAAACGTTGGAAGCTGAACACACCACTGAAAGGTGCCAAGAAGAGACAGGTTGCTTTAAGCCAGAGATCATGGCTTACCAACCCAGTGACTGGATTCATGCAATCCACTAAGCCTAAATAAACAAAGTATGACTCCAAATGTTGTATAAATCAGTACAATGGTGGGTTCACTCATCATGCTTGACAAATATATGGTTTGTTTAGCTGTGTCATTGTGTGAGGTAGAAAACCCTGTCACATCTGCCCCTTGAACTATCCTTCTTTACAGGGGAATTGTGAAGATGGCCATCTGTGGGGAGAGGCAAAGTGTATCATGATATCATCATGCAAAGGACATGACTTAAAGCCCTTGCATCACACGTCAGGATGTCATTGTGTAATTGTGCTATTTGTGCACTGATATCATGGATACATGCTGTCATTTTGATATTGTGAGTTGTTACAGATGCAATTGGTTGTGAGGGGACAAATGGGGAATTCCATATATGCAGCCCTGAATTTCTTATAAAAGAAAATACATATAGTGCTTTTTTTAAACAAAACACCTTACTGATAGTAAAGATCACATATATAGGGCAAAAGCTTGTGTGATCTGTTCATATAAACTTTTGAGTAATTGATTTCCTCTCTGTTCTTCATCCAAAATACATTAAAATTAAAAACGGTTTAATAATAAAAGTAATAGGATGCGGCTCCCATTCATCTTAAATGCTACACAAAGATAGCTACTTGGATTGCATTCACCTCTTTTCTAATTAAGCCTTCCCAGTGTGGTGCCGGGTTGGAAATACAGGGACTCTAGGGGCTGTCTACCAGTTTGCTCCACTTCAGATCAGGATGCAAACAGCACCTCTTAATGCTGTTCTTGATTCTGGACTCGCATATGTCAGCTGCGTCCAGCCTGCTGGAACCTTCCTTCTCTTCCAGATGTAATCCCCCGTGCACATCCTTTGCCCTACAAAAGATGGGAAAATAGTAAAGAAAGAGCCTGAGAAATAGGCCTGCATCCGGGCAGACTGGAAAGTTATTTATTTAACTAAGCTTACTCATCTGTTCCAATAGAAGAGGATATCTGTAGCTCAGGGTTGAACTGTGGAGTCCTTGGTGCTCTCTGAGCTTGGTTGTTTCCTTGCAGACATTTCATTACCTGACTAGGTAACATCATGTCGATCCTAAGATTCCGGCAATACTTCTTGCTCTTTTTGTAGTGCTATAAAGTCATCGGGTTGAACTGTGGAGTCCTTGGTGCTCTCTGAGCTTGGTTGTTTCCTTGCAGACATTTCATTACCTGACTAGGTAACATCATGTCGATCCTAAGATTCCGGCAATACTTCTTGCTCTTTTTGTAGTGCTATAAAGTCATCTTAAGTTGTCTTAGGATGTAATAAGGATAGGGTGTATATCAATTAATTTTTAAAAGTCAGCCACTGCTTTGAAATGGTACTGATGATTAAGTGACAAATTCAGACTTAGGAGCAGGCCCCCACACAACTATTTACCACTAACCACTTTTCCTTTCAGCCAGCACAAAAAATAAAATAAATTTTGTCTCCAATCTTATCATTTTTCGGGGAAATGGTATATTTGATAAAGCATGACATTTTTTGTAAGGGATTTGTGAGAATTTCTCACTCTGTTATATGTACCTTATCGGTAAGGTTAGTCCAGCAATACCAATAACCTGAATTCATGGTATTTTCCAGTTCTTGTTCTCTCCCTGTCTTTCAAAGAGATCTTCAGATTCTGGACCTCTGCCTTTCACATGATATTTTTAAAGTGACCTGGATATAAGTTTCTGTCAGAGCTCCTCTGGACTGGTACAGAACTGTTTTCACTGCATGCAGGAGATTAACATATTGTGCAACAGTTAAGCATTGAGGAGAAGCCTAATTTTACAGGTGTGGATTGCCAAAGAAAAGAGGGACGAAAGCATTCAGAGAAGTTCCTTAGTAACTCAAAGCACGGATTCCAAACACAGAGAATAATAGGTTTGTCTTTTCAGATTTCTTTTCCCTGAGAAATGGGAAAAATATGTAAGAGAAGACATGAGTATTTCTGGATAGAATATGATGATTATGAACATCTACTGCTGTAATGAATTTTTGCAAAGGTTTGCATCACCATTTTCACAAGGTCTAAGTTCAGTCAGGCAAAACATGCTCACAGGTGTAGAATATATGTTCACTGTATCAATCAGTCAATCAATCAATCAATTGTGCTTCTGCTCATGGGCAAAGTATTAGTTTTTCCTGTCAATAATTATGGCAGATTTGTGTGTGCAGTCTGGTGATCAGGGATTTAAGATTTGGCACCTCTTTTTAGAAATAAGGAGTTGCATTTTGCAAAACTCATTTCCACTGTGCGCAAAAGGTACAGAACAGAAAGACTCACACCAGGCCTTTTTTTGTTTTTTGGTGCCTTCAGGTCAGTGTTGACTCCTGGCCACTGCCTGGACCAGTCTCTGCATTTTTCCTGGCAAGATTTCAGAAGTGGTTTGCCACTGTTTCCTTCCTAAAGCTGAAAAAGGGTAACTGGCCCAAAGTCACCCAGCTGGCTTCGTGCCTAAGGAGGGACTAGAACTCACCGTCTCCCCATTTCTAGCCTGGTGCCTCACCCACTACACAAATGGTTCACACCTGAGTTTAGCATGTATATATCGTTCAGCAACATATTCAATATTCAAAATGCATGATTTTCAGCATAGTTCATTTTAATAAGCCATGTAGGGGGTTCCAGAAATGCTGCATTTTGCTAGAGAATCTGATTAATGAAAGAAAAAGCTGCACAGGCTTTTTAAAAATTTATCTAACTTTATTCAAAGCTCTTTATATAGATTTTATACAACACAGCCCTACTATCTAGTCACAATTAAGGTCAAATAAAAGTAAATACAGAATTACATCCTTAATTGCTCACCCTAATCAATGTATTTTACACTTGCAAAATGAAATTTTGAAACTCAGAGAACTGGAACTGTACAGCTGTGTTTTGAGAATATTTTTTTATTTATTTATTTTAAAATGATATTATTTGCTATATGTTATAGAAAAAAATTCAGTCTCAATATTTTCCACAATATAACTAAAAAAAGATTTTAAATCTGCCTTGATATATTTTGCGACCAAATATTATTTTCACTGTTATTATCATGAGAATTGGAAACCAGAAAATTACAGGAAAGGAAAGAGGTTTATGGTTTTGAATTACTGCCCCCCCAAAAGTTTTTACTTTTTAAACACTGTTCATTACCCAGAATCCTTGTTGAGATGGGCGGCCATATAAATTGATTAAAAAAATAAATAAAATAAAAATGTATGGCAAAATTTCAGGGCTGCTGTCCAATCTGCCAGTTGAGTTTAACTATAAACTCAGCTGAAAATTCACCATCTCTCCAAAATAAGTATTTCTATAAAAAGTGAGTACCCTGCCACTCCATCAAACTGCTTTTACTAGCATTTTGAAACTAAATAAACACATCCTGTCCTCAGAATAAACATGATGGGATCACAGGCATTGCTATTTGCTTTGAAATGTGGTTGGAAGCATCTTTTTCAATGCAAGATAATAACCTGGTAGAGACTTTCTTGTTTAAAACAAAGAAGAAGGTTAGTGGAATTTGCACAGCCTTTCATGCAATCTGAGATATGTTTTATTTTTATTTTCCAGTTGAAAATTACACACCAATACTGCTTCTTTTCCTAACAATCCAGCAAATGTAAATAAGTCTACATCTCTTAGCTCTGGATTATGAATTCAGAATAAGTGCCACCTCCTGGCACTCTGTTAACAATCCCGCATTAACTTTGGAAAAGTTTCCCAGCGTGACATAAACTACCACAGTATTCACTCCACTTGCTAAATCCAGGTTTACTAATCACAGTGGCAAATGCGAAACCAAAGAAACATACATTTTAGCATATTGTGAAGTTTACTGGCTTTAACTTAGCATGCTGTGCGAAGTCATCTACTGTGATTTGTAAATCCTGGTTTATAGGACAGCCTCTTGGGCGAATGCAGCCCACCACGTTAGCGAAGTTGCCTCTAAACCGTTTTGTACCATCCTTCACCGGTAAAGGCGAATTACCCGAAGGTCAATCTGTGAGGGGATGTGGGTCATGGACAACATATCCACACGTGCGACCAGATAGAGACACAGAGCTCTCCTTGAAAAGAGTTACAGGGAGCTCACTCCCCCAGCGACACGGATGTCCGAGCGCTACAAGCGAGGGACAAACTACTGTACTGTAATGTAAGGATCTCCGACCAATCGCGCTCTTCTAAAGTTGACTTCGCCGTCGGCAGCGGCTGCGTCTCCCTCCCTCCCTCCCGCTCTTATTATAGCTAGAAAGGAGGACTCCCTTTGTTTGCAAGGGGGGAGGGGGGGTCCGCTCGACTTCCCAGCTTTCCCGCGGGACATCGATCAGCAATCGTTCGGGTACCTACATGGTTTGGGGCGGGGGAGAGGGGAAGAGAGAGATGAACAGCAGCTGAACTTGTTCACAGGCACACACTTGTCACTGCGGTCGCAAAGTCCTGGGCTTTGTTGCTAAACGGCTCCTTCCTTTCTCCTTCCCGGACGCCTCTCGCCTCTGATTCACGAACTGATTAGGTCTTGGCAGTAGAAAGGAAGTTTGTGTGTGTGTGTGTGTGTGTGAGTGTGAGAGTAAGTGAGTTTGTCAGAAATCTTGGGGACGGGACGCCCACAGTTTCCACAGCCACACGCCCCAGTTCTTCTCCGGGGCTGGAAACAACAAGGGCTGTCAAGAGAAACCAGTGCGCGAGCCTACCCCGAAATACCACCTCCAACAGCCCAAAGTTACTTTTTTTTTCCCGCTCCCTGCCCCGCGCGCTTACCTTTCTTCTGGCTTCACAGCAGCCCAGTTTACTCTCCTTGCAGCCCATTCCTCTTCGCTTGCGGGGCTCGGATGGAGCTCTGCGGGGGTCAAGGGGTTAAGACCAAGGGCACCGGCGGCGGCGGCAAAACCCGCCGCCGCCGCCGCCGCCGCCGCCGCCGGCCACGCGCGGTCTCCATCCCGCGCGCTGCCTCCTCTAAGACCCTGAACGGACCTGAAACAGCCTGTTTCAACTTCATGCTTAGGCAGTCGCGCGCCGTAAGTATCAGAAGAAAAGCCCCTTTCAAAAGTCTCCCGTGCTTTCGTTTCGCAAAAATATATGCCCGTTCAGGTCCGGCTGCCCAGATGGTAACCTCTCCCTGTCTGGGACTAGCACCTAGTCCATCTCGGCTGATCCTCCCAAACCTTAGTTAGTACTTGGATGGGAGATCGTCCAGAAATCGCAGGGGTGTAGATTAAACTGGAAAGCCGAAAAAAGAGCCCAGAAAAACAAGAACCAGCAAACCACTTTCATATTGTTGCCAAGAAAACCTCATGGATTTGTCTCTGTAGTCTTTTGTAAATAAGTTCAACTTGAAGGAGACTTTATCTTTGTCTTAATGATACAATGATTTTTTAAAAAATATGCACACTAACAATTGGTTTTATTTTTATTATTTTATTCATTTGTTCTGCACTGTCTTAATGCCATCCTCCTTGAGTGCCCTTTTCGGGTAGAAACATAGGTTATGAATTCAACCATGTTAATGAATAAATTACACTTGCGTGGGATTAGGTTCTTAGCAGCAGCATTCACAGCAAACCAGTGACAGTAAAATGATGCCATATTACAATGACATCATCCTGCAAATGTAGCCATTACATACTCGCGCCCTGGCATTTGACCCAGGTACCTAAGTGGTGTCATTTGTGTTATGACTTCATCATGCACATGTCGCCATTTGCTTCCCCATCCTGTGGACTCCCATGGCTGTTAGTATATAAATCAGCATTAACTATTTCTACAAAAACTTTTGTGTCTATATTAGGTGCGTAGATGGAACCTTCCATCAAGGTTAACTTCTTTGCCTTTAGTTGCAGCTTCCCACCTAAAGTCCAGCAGGGAACAGCATAGAAATAGCACAGTGCAGATAGGAAAAGGTTTTCTAAGCCATAATGTTGTTGCTGTTGCTGCTGCTGTTATGATTTGGGCTGAGCGTGTTGCGTGAACCAACCAAGCTATGGTTTGTGGGGTAGTGTGTTCCAGGAACCAGCTCATAAAAAGAGTCACATTAAAGCTGAACTCACTAAAGCAGCAGCATCTTTTTTCTTTTTCTTTTTTCAAGTTCACATGGAAGCCTGAGAAATGCCTGGCTGCTTTAATGAGCAGCAGAGAGGAGCTACGTTTACATTCTCACAAGTTCTGAAGTGGGTCACCTCCACCATTCCAAATCACGTACGGCCCTAGTGTTTGCCAGTCATTGCAAGTTATAAATCATGGTGTGTGTGATATGATGCATTTCCAGCGTTCGGCTCATTTCAAACAGGTTGCAATCAGGTCTATCATCCGACTTAAACTGGGCCATCATCTGCTAAGCCTGTATTATTTCCCCCTGATCTTGCCTATCCAGGATACCAGGAACTGGCGGTCTAAGCAGAATTGGCACCGTCTCAACAGTGAGGGCTACGACAAGGCAAAATCTCCCAGTGTGCACAATTCTGCACACAGCTACCCTCTTCCATCTGGGCTCGATGGTGTTTCAATCTGGAGCATTGGGAATAGGCTTGTGGGCTTGGTGGGCTTGACTACCCTGCCTGGGCCCACCCTTGTGGTTGTGGCTCCTTTGCGCTGTGGTCTTTCTTATCTCAGCCCAGCCTAGTATTCCCGGTAATACGATCATCACGTCAGAGGTTGACAGGGCGGTGTTCTGGGCAGTAGAACGGCAGGCAGTGTTGTGGTTACTGATTTCAGTTACAGGAGGTTTGTTTGTAAGATGTTGCCATTTAAAGGGGGGCAGGCAAGATAAGATTTCACCCTTTAAAGACCTTCCCTCAGCAAGAAGGGTAGGGAAGCCTTGCCTGGGAGGAATCCAGCTAAACGTACATGGTAGTTGCTTCTTGGGAGGAAAAAGGAATCTGTTAGATCGTCTGTAATTAAGGAAACTTTAAATTATCTGGAGGTATTCCCTTCTATTTAGAGTGTAGATATATTGTATCCCCAGACAGAGAGAGAGAGATTTCAATGTGCTTGTTGATGACTCTACTGAAAATAAATAGGGTCTATGTACCTACACACTTTAATATTTTGTTATCTTTTAGGTTGTTCTGCCATAGCTTCTGTGAGAGGACTACTGTTATAATGGAATATGGAACAACTAAATGATTCAGAATTGGAGTGTCCCCCTACTTAACTTAAATGCTGAAGATATTGTGAGAAATGCTGGAATAGAAGAAATTAAAATTGCTGGGAGAAATATCTCAGATGCTGTTTGGATGGCAGGAAGTGAGGAAGACATGAATCTCTTGCTGAAAGTGAAAGAAGAGAGTGCAAACGTCCATCTGCTGCTCAATATTAAAAAAAACAAAACCCTAAAATTATGTCAACAGACAATACAAATAGGCAGAGAAGAAGCTGAAGTCGTAAGAGACTTAATTTTCCTAGGCTCAAAAATGCAGAAATCATGATTAAAGTTATGAAATTAAGAAAAGTCTGTACCTGAGAGGAAGACTACGACAGATCAAGACAGAATATTAAAATGCAGAGACATCACATAGACAGCAAAGGTATGCATAGTCAGTACTCTGGTCTCCCCAGTTTTTACATATGGCTGTGAAAGCTGGACCATCAGAAAACCTGAACAAAGAAAAATGGATGTGGTGTTGGAAAAAACTGTCGAGAATACCTGGGACTGCAAGAAGAATAAATCATTGAATATATTAGATAAAGTAAAATCAGGCGGCTTAATGAAGTATTAACAATGAATCTACAGCTTAAATATTTTGGACAGATAATGTGAAGGAAGAGTCACTGGAGAAGGGCCTGATATTTGGAAAAAATGAAGGGAAGAAGGAGGAGGAGGAGGAGGAGGAGGAGGAGAAGAAGGAGAAGGAGAAGGAGAAGGAGAAGGAGAAGGAGAAGGAGAAGGAGA